AATCCACGCACAAGTAACTATTTTTGTTCAAATACGATATAGGATAGTAATATAGGTTAGGGGGATTAATTTGATGTTCCCTAACAACTCGCAAACTTGAACCTGATGATGTTGACAGCTGAGTGGCCATACAACCCAACCTCGCTTTTAACCACAGACCAACTTCTCTCTTTTTGCCACCGACAGCTATTTCTTTTATGACGTCCATGGCGAATGTGAACAGTGTGTTTCAATCATGCTTTTGGCCTTATCTCTTCTACTATGTATCCACTTTCAATGTTAACAATCTCTAAATGCTTGAGTTTGCTTCTAAACACGTGCTTTAAGTTTTATTTATACGTATCTATAATTGCAATTCCGCCGACAAAATGTTGGTACACAAAATAATATATATTTAAATTATTTTTAATCATCAAACAATAAATATACATTCTTAAAGACATCGCACTTAACCTTATACTTTAATAAATAACAATACTTTTATTATTAAGATTACTTAATTGTGTACATAAGTGTGTGTAGCTATCTATCTATATATAAATATCGTATGTGTGACTGTGAGTGTCTTATCATTTTTAGTTACCAAAGTACAAGCAATCCCACTTTATAGTCTTATCAAAGTTCCCAATCGTTCAACCATGGCAGACCCTTTCTCCAATCTTTTCACTGGTTGCTTCAACTTCATACCTCTTCATCCCCACTATTATTCTTTCACTTGCACTGCTCCCACTCCTCCAAATCAACCAATCCCTTCTTCACAACCTCACACAACAACAGTGAAAGTACTGTTCATCATGCAACTTCCTCTAGCAAAGAGGCTCCGCCTCTCATCAAATATCTAACTTCCACAAGGCAACAAGAGTTCAACGAACCCACAAGCCGTTCCATGGAGGACGATAAGTTCAGAACTGTTGACGATGAAGCTCTAACTGTAGCCCTACACATAGGCCTACCTAGCCCTAGTTCCGATTACAGAATCTCCCCATCCGCGGATTCAACTGACAAATTGGGAGAGAACAGTAGTAGTGCAGCAGCTCCTGGGTATTCTTTAAACACCAGCAATGGACAACAGTATTGGATTCCTACCCCTACTCAGATTCTCGTTGGTCCTACACAGTTTTCATGTCCTGTCTGTTGCAAGACCTTCAACAGATACAACAACCTACAGGTATGCATGCCTCATTTGCACGAGACATGATCCCTTAAAATTTTCCTTCTTTAATTACTTCATATAATATGAAAGAGCAGATGCATATGTGGGGGCATGGATCTCAGTACAGAAAGGGACCCGATTCTTAGAGGAACCCAGCGAACGGGCATGCTAAGGCTTCCATGTTACTGCTGCGCACCGGGTTGTAACACAACATCGATCACCCAAGAGCGAGAGCGCTCAAAGATTTCAGAACTCTCCAAACCCACTACAAAAGGAAACATGGAATCAAACCCTTCATGTGCAGGAAATGTGACAAGGCTTTTGCGGTGAAAGGAGATTGGAGAACACATGAGAAGAACTGCGGCAAGATTTGGTATTGCATCTGTGGGTCGGATTTCAAGCACAAAAGGTCTTTGAAAGATCATATCAAGGCCTTTGGCCCTGGTCATGGTGCAGTCGGCATCGCTTCTTTCGATGAAGATGATGAACCCGGATCGGAATTTGAGTCTTCAATGACAATGTGAAATTAGCAAGCAGTAATATATAGCATTTACTTGACTTTCGTATGATTAAGTTGTTTAAATATATCACTTCTTTTTCATGTATAGCTTTGTGGTGCATATGTGTTTATTTCTCTTATTTGGTTCCGTAAATCCTTCCACTTTACGCCAATATTAATGGATTAATTCTATTTGTTTGCTATGTTTGGTGTGGGATTTTTTCCTTCAATTAAAAATATAATTTATTATGTATTTTTTTTTGGATAATTCAATTTTATTACCCAAAGAAACAAAACTGCTACAAAAACAATCACCGATCACAGAAGATAATTACAAGCTAATTACAAAAAAATCGATCGGTTTAATCAATACCCCGTGATATACAAAGTTTGGAGTTAACATAGTCAAGCCTATTGATAATTTTCCCCGTAATTTAATTCCTACTATTTCTTTAATACTACTAAAGATTTCTGCTGAGTTTCGAGAGCATCATTTGAAAATTCTTCGGTTGCGTTCTCCCACAAAATATAGATATTAGCGTCCAGCGATTTTAAGGATAGTGGTTAGGAGTGACTTATCTTTCCAAGTGGTACTTGCCCAAACAACCATGTCTTCCCAGGATTGTAAGGTCTTTTGTAGTCCACTAAGGTGTAGAATTTTCTCTCTTAAGTGCGATGAGAATTGGCATCCGAAGAACAAATGGTTTCAACTTTCCATTATATCATTGCAAAGAACACAAATCTCAGAAGAAGTAATCCCCATGCGTTGTAGACGGTCATGAGTGGGAAGCCTATCTAAAAATGCCATCCAAGCTATCAAATTATGTTTAGGGATGTGGTGGGGGAACCAAATCAAAGAATGCCAAATCATTTTGTCTCCTTTTATCTGATCTCCAGCCAAATTTGTCTAACAGAAAGAGCTCCACTCGAGAGGATCGGTAGAGCTTCAGTTCTAAGTTTAAGAATTTTATTGAGACTCTAGCTTGTGTTTGCACTTCCTTCCATGAGCCATAAATCATTCTCCTTTTGCACATAAGCAATTTTACTACGTATTTGCTACCATCTCATTATATATAAGTAAATAAGTGGTTGTTTTGGTTCATGTAATAGATGAAAATGTTAATTTATAGTTTCGTATGGATTTATATTTGATACAATGTATTGTTGATGGGTTCTTAATTTGATACTATTGATGATGGAGGATAGTTAACATCCATATTCATTATCTGCTTTATCTTATTGTTCTGATGAACGATATGCCGTCTGGTTCTTTCTAACCGCAGGGAACATTGTCTTCATGGCGGTGGTTTCAACGAACAAGATGGCATTGGCAATCTCAAGAACTGATTGCAACACCATCATGCTGCTACGAATTCGATGTTTTGACCTTGATTATCAATGTTAGAATTGTAGGATACTTGTTAATCAATTTAAAATCCATTCTATTGGTTATCTTGACGACCAAGTTGGTAAGGACAGTGCAGTCAAAAACTCAAGCAAAGCACTGAAATGAAGTGTAAAACACGTTTCCATGACTTGGTGCAACTTGAATGTTTATGTTTCTTTTAGTATTTTGAACTTGGAATAATTCAAATTTACTATAGCATTTGCATAAATGGTTATTTTATCGGAAGAAGAAGAAGAATATACATGAATCGAACGGATCAGTAACGTAAGAGACCAAAATCGTCCTTTTTTTTGAAGAAGACACGTGAACCGAACGGATCGATAACGTAAGGGACCAAAATCGCTCTTTTTGAACTGGTGACCAGAATCGGAGAGACTAAGCATGTAAGGGATCACCCTTGTAGTTTACTCAAATTTTAATTGAGTGGCTAATTTTAAATTTTTAGTAAAAACGGGGCCTTTTTCTAACATATTTAATAATTGAGTGCCCTAAAATGCAGTTTACCCTTGAATAAAAAGGGGTTCCCAGTTCCACCTCCTATATTCAAACTTAACATAGACTCCTCATGAATTTGCTGCTTCCAGACTTTCGAGCGTCAAAACCAATTTCAAATCCAAAAATAACAATTGTATTTGTTACTCAAATTTTGTCTTCAAACCCATTCAAAGAAGATATAATAAGCTACAAAAGGAAAGGGTAAAAGGAAAAGGAAAAGAACCCATCGTTTTGTTATTGAATGTAAAAGGGGAAACAATGTCGACTGATCTCAATGATTACACTATCATAAAGGAAGGAGAAGCTGCGATTCTTATGCTTGCTAAAAATGAAGTCTTTTTCAACAAAACCCAGGTTTCAGATTTTATTTTGGTTTCAATTGAATCCATCATTAGAATTTTCATGGGCTTTAGTCGATGGTTAGCTTCTTTTATTATAGTTAAAAGGTTCTCTTCATTGCGATGAATTTTCTATTTTAAGGGGAACCACTTATGGATTTTTATTTAAAAAAAAGTGACGTCTGCTTAATCGGATTAACTGATGGGCAGGGAAAATATAATTGAATTTCATGGTTTTGTTTTTGTTAGATTTTTTCATGTCTTAGTTTTAGTTAATGGGAAGCTATTGATTTTAATAAAGAGTTCTATATTAATGATGATTTATTGTTAGAAATACTCAACTAGGGAGGTCTTCTAAGTTAAGCTGTTTATGAAAATTGTAAGCTCTTTGTTCAGTAATGTGAACTAATGGCGCCGTGATTGGCTGCTGAGAAAGGGGGGGAAAAAGGAACTGTGAAATATTCTATAAGTACTGCTTTCGCTGGAGACATGTATATTCTATTTCTAGATGCTGAGTGGGATTTTGTTTCCTCTGCTGTGTAATTGTTGTGTTAGTTGTTTTATGCTTGGTTCTTATTTACTAGTGGGGATTTTAATTGTTTACTATAATAATTAGGTTAATAACAGAGACATGTCCATAGCGGTCCTGAGTACATTTATAACAAGAAGGAAGCAGGAACATGAGGCATTCTTGTCTAAAAGAAACAAATCAGCACCGACGGCACTTGATAAGAATGTTTCTTTGTCTGACGTGAAAGATAAACCCAATGACTCTGATATGAATATTGAAACGAATGAACAAGGGATTGAAGAGAAATTTAATGATGACCCATGTACTACATCAGAAGAACTTCTTCCTGTTGTTCCTTTATCTTCTGCATTTCTGCGTGGGCGTGCACACTAAAGATATTTCAAACAACTAAACTTTGGTTAAATTATTGGAATTTCAAACTGGTCAACATCCTATGCTCTACTAATTTGATTGAGACGTGATGAAATGGTTTTCATGAGGTTTTTGTCTTCTCTGTAGGTTAATAGTCATCCAGTGAAAGCTCAACCGGTTGATCAACCTGGAAGTGTGATACTTGCCAAAGAACCGGTTCTTCAAGCACGTCTTCCTTGCCACTTTCTATAGTTGCATGCTCTTCCTCTATCATTTGTCCTTGTTTCATGTTCGACGTGTAAACACATGGCTTCTTTGACATAAACATTACAACTTGAGGTTAGAGGTGGGAAATGTTTTAAGTTTTAACATCCTCTAACCTGTGCATCTTTTTGGCAGGCAAATTTTGCTCGAGCTGTTGAATCCCTTAGCAAGGCGCAAGCTAAAAAAGTTGCTCGCTTCCTTCCGAATCCCGAAAGGCACTGGGGGCCTAAGCTTAAGGCAGGTCGCCAAATCACCAGCAAGTACATCTCTCTTTTGGGCGAGGATGCAGTAAATGGATGCCTCAATGATGAAGATAGTGAGTGTGACGCCAAACGTCAAAAGACCAAGAAGTCCGATGATGATGATGCTATTGCAGAATCATAGATTAGGAGGGTAGCCTAGCCAAGGTGGTAGAAACCTGGTTGTTACCGCCTCATCGCCTAAAATTTGTCATGATTTGGTTGGTTAAAATTCATTGTTCTGTGACTATAATCCGTTTTGCAAAATTTAGTTTCTGTTTGAAAACTAATTAAAATTTTGAAGCAATTTATTCAAGTTTTGTGGTGTTGGAAACCAGAGGTAAGATGCAGAGAGTTTGATGCTCTGTTTAGTTTTTTGGAATTGTAATCTGTCATGGAACTGTAAGTAGGAAAGACATTCCATCCCTTAACTCATACGCTCTTTATTCTCATTCAAAAGAAACCAAGCGCACAGCCACACACCCTGTGCTTGGATGGAAGATTGATTGAAGAATGGGAAAAAATATTTTTTTACGTGAAGAAACAAAATAGGACACAGTCATTTTCTATCCTAATTCTTTAAAACAAATCAAGAGAAATGTAAGTTAATGTTCAAAGTTAAAGCAATTTTAAATATGTATATGTGCATATATTTTCTATTTTCTTGTACTTTTAACTTTTTATATTTTAGATTTTCTTTACATGATATTCAACAAAGATTAAATGGACAAGACAAACTATGGTTGTTCAAGGAATAACATATATTTTCTGCAGTGGACAACAATATTTCCTTTTGACTTAGCTAACTTATTCCCTAAAAGGAAAATCTACTCCTCACATTGTTAATCTAAAACTAAATTTGAGCTTTAATCTTCTAAGTTGGTTTTATAATTCATGTTTAAAATTTGAGTATTTCTTTAAATAATACCATCTTTAAAGTTTAAATTTAAATTCTCTTATTGAGAAGCAAAATGGAAGCAATGCTAAATCATCTAACACATGTTTATTCTTGTTTGTAACTTGATAAAATTACATGCCAAAATCTAGTGAGGAACAACAAAAATTATTGAACTTGATTCAAAACTGTAGCGAAATAATGGTGCAGCTGACTGTTAAAAGCATGTGAAATAGAATATAAATAATAAATGTGATTTTGTTGGAAAAAAAGTTTCTAAGCTGCTTTGCCATTGGGCACAGAAGATCCTCCGGTGGGTGGGTTGAGCTCATCCCAGGCTTTAATCCAAGTGATCATTGCATCAGCCAGCTTGTCAAAGTAAGGATCAACTTTGCTGAGCTTCTCTTTCACCTGCTTAGCCAGTTCAATGTAGCACTTTTGAACAGTGGTACAGTCTTTTGGAAGAACAACTTGTTGGAAGAAGGGGATGATCTCTTCCTGCCAGAAAATCCCCTTGTATTCCTTCCTTAGGTTCACAAATGGGTTGCTGGCTTTGCTGTGGTAGATGTATGGCAGACCAGTTTTCACCCCCAGTCCCAAATGGTCACATATCACCTAAACAAATAGACATAAAGCATAAGAAGAAGAAGAAGAAGAAGCAATGCAAATGACCGACTCCAATGGCGATATACCTTGATGCACCAGCCAGCCCACATATCGTCGTAGCGTCCGATTGGCTGACCCTCACCCATGAGTCCAAAGTACATGGCAGGGCCGATCAAATCACGGTCGAACGCCAGATTCATACCGCACATGGGGAACAATGTGCCCTTTGGGATGGTGAGAACCGCGTCGACAAACCTGTTGTTCCTCTCGAGAGGCTTCACCAGTTGGGTGGGTGCATCGTAATCCGGGATGTTTAGCCACAGTCCGTGAGAAACAGCGGTCGGGACACCCTCACGGAGACTGAATGGATATCCACGGACGAAATCAGCACCATCTCGAAAAGGGTCATACAAGGTGTTGAAGAAGAAGGGAGTTGATGGAGATAGAATGTTCTTGATGTGCTGCTCAAGTGCATTCACTGCTTTGCCTGATGGGTCCTTGGCAACCTAATCACAGAATTTGACTAAAACCCAGATTCTTAAAACATCTCAAAACAAGATTAAAACAAGAAAAGAAACTTACAAAGCAGTCATCATCGATGGTGAAAATGTACTTCTTCTTAGACACCATGTAACCAAAGCAACGGCAAGCGGAGTCCTTGAAGGAAATGCAAGAAGCCTTAGGGCCCAGAATCTTGTTGATATCATTCCTGTTATAAAGCTCATAGTCAAAGCCACGAGGGACCTTGATGGTCTTTGAAGGGTCACCATCTTGAACGATGATGAGGTGGTAGGGCTGGAAAAATGGCCTCCACATCTCGAGAAAGTCCAAGTTTCTTATCGTGGGTATAACAATGTCAAGCTCATCTTTCAGCTGAGGCATTACCGGAGCTGCTGTCTGGGTTGCTGTTGCTGGCTCAACCATTTTTAATTGAAAGAAGAAGAAGTGAGAGAGATGTGAAAGAAAGGAAGAGGTTGTATGGGAGTATATATGGAGTCGAGATGTGAGAAACGAGTCAGGCGCCATGAGTGAAGGAAGAGAGACGAGAGCACGTGTAAGAAATTTGCAGGTAATTACGACTTTTTCAATGCCTCTGATTTAGCCTTGAAACTTTAGTTTTTTGTCAAACCTAAAATATCCAAATTTATAAGGCTAAAATTAAAAATCATTTTACAAAATATATATTTTATTTTAAAATATTGATTTATAATAAATGTTTATAAAGGTCTGAATTAAAGGTAAAGATTTCTTCATATAAATTATACGTTAAGAATTTATCATGTATAAATTATGTAAAACAAAAATTTTAATTTGAATTAAATAAGATATTAATCATTGAGTTTGTGTGTCATGCCATCTTCTTGAATAGGATAACATAATCAAAATATTTTTTTAATACTTTAATGATTATTTTATAATTTTTAAAAATTCATTAATTAAAATATATAAAAGCATACAATAATATATTTATATTTTTTATTCGAATATATATATATATATATATTATGATATGATATGCTTGTATTTGTATACAACAAATATTCTTACAACAACAGGGAATTCATTGCATCATAAAATGTTGATGTAGTCCAAGTCTTCACCACATCCTATGCCTGGAATTTATCTTATGGTGTGCAGGCCCCTGATGTTGATCCAGGCTGCAATCACAAAACAAACCCATCTTTTTTACCAAGTTCGAAGGTCTACTTGAGAGAGGATTCGGATAAAAATATTAGACTCGAAATACATTTATATGAAAAAGACACATACCACACATGCATGGATATCATCACATCCACATAACAACTTCCCATTCAAAGTGTCCACAGCTTGAAATGATCCTCCTCCTTCACTCCTCTATCCAAACCAATATATACACAATATTTTCAGGCTTCAAAGTTAACGAAACAAGAAAGAAGTAGCAATATAGAGGGTTAATGATAAAAAGAACCTTGTAATAATCAACAGCAACAAAGTTAGCCCACCGGTTACCAGCAGCAGCATAGCAAGTATGGAGCATGTTAATCAGATCTCCCGAGTTGTCCTCACATGCCTCCCCCTTGTTTGACTCTGAAGGAAAGTAATTTACCAACACCAAAGACTTTGTCTTGTCATTTAGACTTGACGACTCTCCCCTGTTTGGACAATTCCCTGCTTCCATTCCACCATCACCATCTGCCAATTTCACATTCAATAACGCCATGTTGCACGGTTCTTTTAGAGTTTTGGAATAGCTTAAAAAGGGAATTATTGATGGATGTGTATGGTTTACATTGATTTTCGACCATGTAGTTCCACTGGTAAGCTATTCCTTCACTTGCTTCTTTGGACTTGACTGAGGTGAAAACGAGTAGTCTTTGGTTATTAGCCACCATGTCACTTACCAGAGGCCAGTCTCCACCATTTTGGGGCATTTTCGACACTGGAAACCAGTATTTCATCAACCCGGCATCGGTAAACACCTTGGTTAGCCCATTTGGACCAACATAATCTTCCAAGATTAATGTGACAATCTCTCTTAGGTTTGCAGATAAGAATGTTTCGATTTCCTTCAAATAATCTATAGCTGGTCCCTGGTAGGCCAATCCAAAGAAGAAGAAGATGTGAAAGGGGCAATATTCATGGGTCATTAAGAAGGGGGAGTTGGACTTACAAATGCAGTAATGTCATGACATTGTCCTCCAAATGAATGGCACATCCACACATCTCCATCGAAATCATAAGTGTCGAGCATCAATCCTCTGCTCCATTCTGCAACTCGAAGGGGAAATTAACTAGGAATAGAGATATTGAAGAATGATACATTTGTAGAATGTGAGTAGAGAAACATACGTTGAGCTGAGCAGTAATCATGTCTTCTTGATTGGTAAAGGTAACACGAGGAATTGGGGTATGCAAAGGGTATCCATCGATGGCATATGCATTGTGGGTTGTCAAGAATGCGTATTTGTTGAAAGGAAGAGAGTTATTCTATTCACCCACAAGTAAACACGCACAGAATTAACATGTGCATTATATGAATATAATTGCACATAGAAGTTAAGAGATGATATCTGACATGGATAGAATTATTTATGGACCTACCAGGGCTTTGCTGAGACCAGTGATGGGCCGAGGGGGCAGTCGCCCCTGATAATTTCAAATTTTATAAATTTCCCCCATGTTTATTTTAGCTTAAAGGTTCATAAATGAGCTAAATAAAGAAAAGAAAGCTTATGAACTTGTTGACTTACCAGAAGCTGGAATTGGTTTGTAATGGTTGATCGTACACATCTGGAACCTGAAAATCCTTGTGAGCAAGCGAAACAATACAGTCCAGCCTCACAATCTCCATCCGAAGAACATTCATCAAGCAACTAAACATATCAAAACTGTGAATTCTACGAATTCCACAAATGCAACAATAATAAAATCATATACAATTGATAAAAAGAAGGGATATATGTATGCATCTGTAAACCCTACCTTGCACTGTCCATTAGTGCAAGCTGAAGCAATACCGAGAAACACAGAAATAGCAGTGACCAAAACCAAATTCTGAAAAGGTCTCATTTTGTTGGAGATTCAAAAGACTGTAAGGCGCAATCCTCATAGACAAAGTGGTTTTTATTGTGAAATAAATTTGGGTTTTTCTTCAGCTTCTTGGCTGAGAAAACTATGGAAAATTTTCATTGAATATATGGAAAAAAAAAACAAGAAAACTGGAAATTTATGAAGGGTTGGCTATCCACTTAAAGACAATGATATTAATTAACTAATTAAGAAACTAAGTTAAACATCCCACCAAGATTTTAACTCTAATATGCGACACTCAGGCTTAATTCCTTTGTAATAGGATAAAAATTAAATCTTTATTCCCAAATTGGTACATTCATAATTTTATTTCCTTACTTAGTTAATCTCACCGCAGGGACTTTTATTTCTATGTCTCAATTTATTTATTTTCATCTCATACAATTTTTTTAATCAAATTCTAATTAATAACTGAAATTAAATTTTTATATAATTCAAGTAGTTAAAAATTATTTAGATAAATTATTATAAATAATTCTTTCTAATAATTCATTTTTAGTTGAAAAAAAGAAGACCACATTGACATATTTATACAAGGACCAGTTTTCTATCTCACCTGCCTTCCAGATAAATACATGCATTTAGTTAATTTTATTATTTTTAGATTCAAAATTTATATAAAATTAAAATTGGAAATTTTAAACATCAAAGAAAAAAAATTAAATAATTACATATCACTGTCGGTAATAATTTCTCTGACGTATAAGATCTTGACGCTTCATTCCTAGCATTCTTCTTCTGTTTTTTTTATGGCTTTGTCTCTTTTCTTTCTCTCTTGATCTGATAACATTCTGTTATGTATATGGAACATTGATATAAACTTTCAACCTAGGAAGCAGCGAAGGTCATTTCTTCGGAGATTGAAATTATCGTCGTGATTGTATTTTCGACTACATTCTGTTTATCGTGATTACGATAATAGCGGTCATTGTAGATTTTGCGTTCGTGAAATAACGGTTTTTTTTAAAAACATACCACTGTTTAAATCCATGCATTTCTCTCCTCAGCAAGATACTTTAGGCTTCTTGAATTAACCCCATATCACCTTTACTCGAGACAGATCGAAAGGCCGGCCGCCCCGCATTAGTATTGAACACCTATTGTGGGTCATTAGTGCAATAAAAAAGTTGTGATTTAGGAAAGACGGTGAAACTAGGAAGTATCACGTGTGGTAACCTAATATACGGTTAAGAAAGACGTTACTAGAAATATTATTATTTTAATATTTCGGTAAAAAATACATAAAATATTATTATTTCTATCAGAAATGTTATTGTTTGGCGCTTTACCGGATTTGTTAATATATCCGTTAAACGTTACCTAAAATTATTTTTTTTCTACCGAAAATGTTAATATTAGGCATTTTACAGGAAATATTAAAAAATATTAATGTTTTAGGTAAAAAATAATAATGTTTTAAGTAATTTTTTTACTAGAAATGTTAAAAAATAATAATATTTCCGATATCTTATTTCTTTAACCATATATTAAGACTACCGTGCTACAGAACTTCCCGTGAAACTGACATCTAGAATAATAGACATAGATGAAACTGAAAAAAAGGGATATTCACATAATAAATTCTTAAACTTCAACAATTTCGAAAGTAAACATACACTCAAAAATATTAATAAAATATTATTAGATTATTGAATTATAATAAATTATTAAAGAATCATTAAATTTAAATATTAGAGATTTATTAAGTTATTTTTAATTATGACTAATTTGATAGAATATGTAAGTTTTGAGGACCAAAACTTTTATTCTGCCATGCCACATCATTTTGAAAAGAAAAATAATTATTAATTAAAAAAAACGAGAATATAGTTTATCCTATAAAAAAGATTTTTTGTAGTGCTTTCCCTTTGGAATAAGACTGCCGCGATACATGGGTTGCTGGGAGGTTTTTTTTTCCCCTTCTATTGGTCTTGTTGGGCGTGTGATCTGCTTAAAAAACGATAAGGTGTCTTGGGATAGATTGATGTGATATTTGGGACATATTCCTAAGAACTTGATCATTATTTGGATGGTTATCTTGGACAAATCGCCAACCAAGAGCAGGCTCATTGGATTTGGTTTATAGACGGCTTGTGTATTCTCTGCTCGAAAGAATTAGAAACCCGTATTTTGAAAGATTTCTTGTTTAATGAATTGATACTTGGAGTTGGAATGGTTTAATTGCAGGTTGCGAACGAAATCGCTGCTGTCGTTCCTTCTAAAACTGACATGGAATTGTTGCATTGCTTTATTTTGGAGAGAAAGGAATCGGAGACAATTTCGACAGCTTGAACGATCTGCTGCTGATATCGTGGTGATGATTAAGGAAGTTGTTCGTCTGAGTTTGAGTGTTAATGGGATGAGAAATATTGATAGCACTCTCTATGCCAACTGGTAGCTTGGTGTTTAGCAGTGGTGTGATTTTGGTTTACTGCTCTTGCTTTTTGTAAGTGAATATTGTATCAACCTGGAAATGTCTTGTGTGGTTAAAAACCTGTCAAAGTCATCCTCAACGGGGGGCCGTTGAGATGTTATGTTCAGACAACTCTTGAGCCTCCCGCTTTGTCTCAACCCTAGCAGTTGCTTCAAGTTATGGAAAGCGAAAAATCCAGAAAACAATATATATATATACACACACACAGACACGCAATACATGTACTTAGCAACCAGTTGGTAAGCCATCTCCCAAGCTCTTCCAATATTGGAAATGTGGAAAGTTTTTCTTTATCTTTCTTAGAACTCAGACAGCACCAACTTTTCTTCTTACAAATGATAGCTGCCATTGCAGTTTCCATTACAGTGTCGGAAGAAAATTCATAAAGAGTAGTTGTTTGCATTCAGCAATTGTCCAAAACGTAATTCCAGCCATTGGAAATCGATAGAATGAAAATTTTCATCTCAGTTTTGTCTCTTTGTGCTCTTTTCTCCTGCGGGTGAATATTTATTCAGTTCCCAGAGCTTTTTTCTTTGCATGTTTATTAAATTGCACTGCATTGCATTTACTTTCTTTGCTTTGTTGCTGCAGCTGCATATGACCCTTTGGATCCAAATGGAAATGTAACAATCAAATGGGATATTGTGTCTTGGACGCCTGATGGATATGTGGTAAGTGCTAGACATTTTATTTATTATTGGGAATCAGGTGAGTTGCGCTGATGATAGCTATATATTTATCTGAGCTTGTGGTGCCAATGACATGTTCCAGGCAGTGGTAACAATGAACAATTTTCAAATGTATCGGCACATAATGAGTCCTGGCTGGACCTTGGGGTGGACATGGGGTAAGAAAGAAGTAATATGGTCCATGGTAGGGGCTCAAACTACTGAGCAAGGTGATTGTTCCAGTTAAAAGGGAATATACCTCACTGCTGCAAAGGTGGAGTGCTTGCAGCATGGGGTCAAGATCCTCAAGCTGCTGTCTCAGCTTTCCAAGTGAGTGTTGGATTAGCGGTACTTCAAACAAGACCGTCAAACTTCACAAGAACTTCACTTTACTTGGTCCGGGACCAGGTTACACCTGCGGTGCAGCAAAGGTCGTGCCTTCGACAACTTTTCTCACCCCGGATCGCCGCCGAAAAACTCAGGCCCTCAGTAAGTCCTTTTGGCTCACATGATCGGGACTTTATCCTAATTTATGGAAGATTGTTGCAGTTAGATTGATCAGCTTCAATATCCTGTCCTGCAGTGACATGGAATGTGACCTGCACTTACTCGCAATTTCTAGCTATGAAAAATCCGAATTGCTGCGTCTCTTTCTCATCCTTCTACAATGAAACCATCACTCCTTGCCCATCTTGTGCCTGTGGATGCCAGAACAAGAACTATTGTGTCAAGTAAGCTTCCATTCCGCTCCCAGTGCTTACACTTGATTTACTTATATGAACATCAAAATCTTACAATGAATGAAATGATGCAGAAGTGATTCCAAGATTCTTAAAATGGTAGAATTGAACACTCCAAGGAAAGATAATTCTCCATTGCTTCAATGCACGCACCACATGTGCCCGGTTCGGGTACATTGGCATGTCAAGCTCAACTACAAGGATTACTGGCGAGTTAAGGTCTCAATCACCAACTTCAACTACCGGATGAATTACACGCTCTGGAGCCTCGTTGTCCAGCACCCTAATCTTAATAATGTCACACAAGTTTTCAGTTTCTATTACAAGCCTCTAGTTCCTTGTGAATCAATCAGTAAGTAGTTGACAACATTTTGCTTTCATTTGTCATTACAATCGAATCATAACCGGATACTTAATCACAGCTATTTGCTTGTATGTAGATGACACATGGATGTTCTACGGCATGAAGTACTACAATGACCTATTGATGGAAGCGGCCCATTTGGAAGTGTTCAATCAAAGGTGCTTCTTAGGAAGGACAAGGACACCTTCACTTTCAAGCAGGGGTGGGCATTTCCCAGGAAGTGTATTTCAATGGTGATGAATGCATGCTCCCTCCACCTGATACATACCCATTTTTACAAATTCTGCGCATCAACGCCTATCCTTCACCAACTTGTCATTTTTTGCTGCAATTCTTTCCTTATTGGTGACCTTTTGGTAACAAAATTCTAGCAAAATGGTATCCGAATTTGTCAGCGAAGCTATACGCATCCCCTTCATAACAAAATTCTTGCAGGGGTGAGCATTTTTGAAGTCCTTTCAACTAGTCAGAAAAAGGTATCTTGTAACAAAATTCTAGCTCAATGGAATCCGAGTTTGTCAGAAAAGCTAATATACATCTCTGTAGTTTGAATGATTCAGTCACAAATGGTACATACTAGATGTTTCAGAACAAAATTGATCGATGTTTATGCATATCGGAATAACAACGCCATTGCTGCCAAGAGAGACTCCAACAGTGAACAGACCATGTGTGGAGGTAAGCTAATGGGAACTGGCATTAGGCAACAGAGGATAAACATCAGGAGGTGATATAACAGAATCATCTGTTCAACAAAATAAACAAAACTCTACGTTTAGTGACCTAAATAATGAATTTCATTCTTCAATAGTTACATATGTAAAGGGAAAATAAGTATATTTCCTCTTTACAGATAACATTTGCCACCATGAACTACCCAGAAACAATAAAACTAGCATTATATTCTTGAAAACATTAGATGCATGGAGGAGCAAATATACTAAAAAGTATCAAATTAGATCACTAAAAATATCAATTTAGTCACTAAAATTTATAGTGGTCATTTTTTAGAGTCGTCACTAATAACTTCGTCGCTATTATATTAGTGACAACTTTCTTGAATTTCGTCACAATTGTTTATATTTTTTATGACAACATTTTCTTACGGAAAAAGTTTAATAAAGTGACAAATATATTATCACAACTATATATTTAAAGTAAAAAATAAAAATTAATTATGAAATCAATTATAATAAATATTATATTTGTAGTTGTAACCATCTTATTTAGGAATCAATTTTTTAATAATTTGAATGATTATAAGGTAGTTTCTATTTAAATATTTTTTAGCGATTGACAACGCGCACACACATCTTACAAACGCAATTGTTTCTAGGATAATTATTTGTTAACGATGGTTGATCGATTGATCTTACTTATTCCTGGATGTGGTGTTGAGACTCGTAGTTAAAACTGAAAATCTGAGCCGTGATGTCAAAGTTGGGGTGATACATATGGATGCTTCTATTTCACCTATATCAATAGCGTATGCATGCTATAATTTAGAACATTCATTGAGTTCTCATGAATTCATACTCGTTTTATTGATTATAGAATATTTTAAATTCGATGAATACTAATTCAACTTAAAGGGGAGGGGAAGGGGAACTCTAGAGAGAAAAGGAAATGCTTTTAGCGAGTGTAGAACCTATGATCTATGAGAATATGAGAGAACAAAGATGAATAATTTAACCAACCGACCAAAAGTGCTTGCTCTGAAGTAGAATAATCTTAATACTTATTATGAAGGAGAGAATTAACAAATAAATTATTATTACAATGATCTACGAGAGGATGCTTTTTTTCTTTTAATTTAAGAGGTTTCCTCGAAACGGAGACAATTCAACATTCTTGATCAAGAAAAGGGTCATCTCCATTATATCAATACAACGGAGACGTCTTCGATGTGACAACGCAATAGAAGATTTATGAAAGTACCTAGAGACTCAATGCTCCAGCAGAGGTATCAAAATTTCAATTCTTGCATACATTAATTGTTCAAACATCACATGTTATTCTTAGAGAAGGTTTTTTTAAATACACGAGTTAGAAGTAACTTGACAGTTTCTCACAAGTTGTATTCCTATAAAAAATGAGTTAATCAATAACTATTATGGTTATCAGACTGTGAAGCGATGCCCATAACGCGATGTAAAGGATTGTTGTAGAAGTCTTCCATATTTTTTTTTTCATGTTGTCTTTGTAGAAGTCAATGTCCAAGGTATGATTTCTTGTGTTTTTGAGCACGCTCCCTTGTACACTTTGATGAGCCTTTTGTATCGCCTAAGATCGTGATGAGGCATTGACGCCCAAAACATCTTGGAGAATGTGTTTTGTAACAGGATAGACTCTCTGTTTATATGTTCGAACCTATGGGAAGACAAAACTGCGTAGGATCTGAAGTGGGAGACTCACGGGAAGAGTGATTTTGGTGAGAGGGATAGGTGGATCGCTCACGTTGTCCTCCCTTTTCTTCTCCTCATCATATTCACCTCTGGCACTCTTCAATGGACTAGTTAGAGGTGAGGATGGTTGTTTTGATTTGTAGAAAGGATGATGATTGTTGTTTTTATTTTTTTGGGGATCTTGATTGATTCAATCAGTCGTGAGGTTCGTCCACATTCACCACGCCAATTGTTGATGAGATTAAATTTATCTCGTCGTTCATTAACGGTTTATCACTTCAGATTTAGACGAATCTCAGTTGGTAAGAAGACATTTGTTAGTCATCATTTTCTATTAGAGATATTAAGGCATAAAGGAGAGTATTGGTGCACAAAAGTAGTGTTGTAAATGAGACGAGACAGATTGTGAGCTATTCGAGATCGACTTGATAAATGCTCGATAAATACTAGGATCAAATGGATCGACTCGAGTTCTTAACGAGCCGAAACGAGCTACCTGATATTTGATTCGAAAAGCTCGTGAGCAGCTCAAAAATATAATATATTAAGATTTTATTTTCTTTAAAAATAAATTATTAATAATATCAACATTTATGTATTGATTTTTAAAAATACAGTAAGATTTTCATGTATTTAAGTTTTAGGTTAGAGTTAGAGTTTGAGGTTTCAATCGAATTAAGTTTAAGAATTTTTTTCATTTCGAGCTGTTCACGAGCTTCAGTTCAGGATTTCAAGTTCGAGTCGAGCTTGAAAATTTTAAACTCGCTAGTTTTCAAGTTTAGTCGAGTTCCATTTTAGAGTTTACTCTGCTCGACTTGGCTCGTTTACACCTCTACTCAAAAGGAGGGGTGGTCTCCATTTTCTAATTTATCATACGATGTGCAAGAGTTTACGAATAGTTTTTAGAATTGTTTGAAATATGATTAGACGTGTGGATTGATACATATTACTTTCGATATTCCTAATTATATTTAGATACAAAATCTGTAGGTCTTGACTAATCGAGTAAGAATATTTTGTAAAAAATTAATGACACTACTATATGATAATTAAATCATTTGTAGGATGCGCACGTATTTGATATAAAAGAGCATGACCTTTTTTAACAAATATATGACATTTTTAGCGAAAGTTGATATTTATATGAAATTAAAAACATGTTGACTTTATTAATATGATTGTATGAATATGATTAAATTAAAAGCATGCGTACGTATAAGAATATTTATAATGAAAAAATATAATTAGTTCATTTACCATAGTCATCATAAACCACCATGTGTAAAATGAATGGACCACCATATCAACACTGTGAATTGTAACATCAATATCGTAATGGTTAACGTTTAATTTTTTTGGTCAAATGGTTAAATTAATTTTTTTGGTCAAATGGTTAAATTAATTTTTTTTAGTTTAAGTCGTACGAGATGTAAAAAAAATCAGCAATCATTTTAATTTTTTAATAAACTTTGAATGCCTCAAATATCATTAATATATAAATTATTATATAAAAATAAAAATATTAAAAAAAAAACATATAAACGTTAGGACTTGGGTGACAAGCAACCATAAAGCATAAAGGGCCATCACACTCGTTTCCGCGTTTTGAAATAAATTTTCGCTGACTCTTAAATTTCAAGTCGCACTGAAAAACCAGTGGTATTCAAACTGCATAATCTTATAAAGTAAGTTAAACTTTACCATATATCTTCTCTCAAGCATGTTGATTAAATATAATCCAATGAAGCATCCTCTGCGTTCTCTTCTACACTTGTTTGTTGCCAAGAAAAAATCCCCTCAACTAGAACCAGGTTCAGAACTTCCGGATGAGATATGCCGTCAATTTTCACTAGCCGAGCTCAAAGCCGCTACCAACAACTTCCACCCAGACTCCATTTTTCGTACAATTCATGGCTGTAGTACTCTTTATAAAGGGATCATCGATTATGGAACCGTTGTTTTTATCAAACGTATCTATAGCAGTTCAAAACCAAATGAGGTAGAGATGCTTTGCCAGTTGCACCACCCACATCTCGTCTCTCTTATCGGCTTCTGCCTCCTGGAGAAACAGACGCTCCTGGTGTTCGAATACATGAGCAGAGGGTCACTCGCTGATTTCCTCTTTGGGGGTGGGGAGGATTTTGTTCCACTAGCTTGGAAACGTAGGTTGCAGATCTGTATCGGTGCAGCACGTGGATTACATTACCTTCACACCGGGGCCAAGCGTTCTGTAATCCACCGTGACATCAGGACCTCAAACATACTTATAGATGAGCAATGGTCTTCTAAACTTTCTGATTTTGACCTCTCCAAACTGGGTCCTCGTAGCATGTCCAAAGCCTTGATAAGAATTGATTCACGTGTTTTGGGAACTTTGGGATTTATGGATCCAGAGTATGCCATGTCTGGGGAACTCACAGAAAAATCTGACGTCTTCTCGTTTGGGGTCACTTTGTTCGTAGTTCTTTTTGGCAAAGCAGCGATTGATCGCAGCCTACCGACGAATCAAAGTTATATACTTGATTGGGCCAAGGAATCCCTAAGGGAAGGAACCATTTATCATGCCATTGATCCACAGCTCAAGGGAAGGGTAGCTCCGGAATGTTTGAACAAGTATTTGGAAATCGCTTCTAGTTGTGTCCACGGTAGGGCAAACGAAAGGCCGGCGATGGGCGAGGTGGAGGTCACCCTTGAGCTTGCCTTGGAGCTACAAAACAGAGCAGATGCTGAAATGGAGGCTTTCAATCCTTCTGGTGAATATCTGTATGAAGAAGCATTATTTTCTGCCTTTCTTAGGAATTTTTCTGGTCTTGATAGCAAATATACTTCTTTGTTATCATATTCAGATAGCAGTAGTTCCAATTCTAGTAGTTAAATGCTTTGTGAGGAAGGATAGCGATAACTATTTAGATAGTCTGCCAATTGAATTCCCAAGCACTCTTTCATTGTAGCATGGCTCATCAAGGATGGATCGACAATGGAAGGATGAAGACAGTAATTCTGTTTAATCGTCTAGTTATCCGAGCTTATATTTATTGATCATATTGTGATTGTACTAATTATTGATTTATGACAATAAATCGTTCCTTCTCTTTGTAGTTCTTGCTTTGCTTAAATCGCATACTTGCTTGATGTGTTTATTAGGCCATTACAGTCAGAACAGAAAAGATTAGAATCCCAAATTCTGAGCAGCTCACAGTTCACTCCCTCCTGAGAGGATGAGGGGCTTCATGCGGTCAAAAGGATCATTCCAGGTAATAGAAGCATGTTATTTTGATGAGGTTAACTCTTAACTACATTAAATGCTTTCAATTCTCAATCCAAGTATCTTAGGAATCTCATTAGTTGCATCAGAAGAATGTGCTTAATACATGATATTTAGCTGTATCAACCTAGCAATAGCATCCATGACAACTAAGCACCTCCTATAATTGAGATCCAATGAATCAAGTCAAGGGTCGTCGCTTTGCTTTTCTCAATAAAGAACTAAAAATGCAGGACGACAAGAAAGAGAAAGGAAAGAAAGTAAAAAAGTTATAGAAAAGTCAACTATTGTTCATTAAAGTTGGTAATTGAGAGCTGCATTTTATGACTTTTAGGACATCAAAATCACCAGGACAAGAGCCTGTGATTCTCTCTCTCTCTCTCTCTCTCTCAAGTTTCTAGTTAAACAAACAAAACTCAAGCCAATGGGTTCTTGTTCACATTCTCTTCCATCTTTCTCTAAAGTTTTGAAGGAGATCAAATCCAAAATCAGACGAACAAAATCCAATACTCTTAACAGATCACTTCCAGATGAATTATGTCACCGAATTTCACTGACCGACATCAAAGCTGCTACCAACAACTTCCACAAAAACAAGATTATAGCCAATGGTGATACGGGATTTATATATGGAGGGAAGATCAATGGCGGGTTCTATGCTATTAAACGCTTAATTCCGACCAGTGATTCACTCCTACCGCTCGTCGAGTTGAGATGTGGGGCGGAGATTCTCTGCCAGTTGCGCCACCCGAATATTTTATCTCTCATTGGTTTCTGCGACGAGAAAAAAGAGATGATCCATGTATATGAATATGTAAACAATGGGAGCCTTCACGATAATCTCCATTCTCAGAATTATGATCCCATCCCATGGAAGCGAAGACTGGAGATATGCATCGGTGTAGCTCGAGCTTTACATTATCTTCATACGGGAGCAAAGTTTATACTAATCCATCGCGATGTCAGTAGCAAGAACATCCTTCTGGACGACCAATGGACTTCGAAACTCTGTAATTTCGGTTTCTGCAAGAGGGGGCCTCTTAGCCTATCAAGGGGTACAGTTTCCATTGAAGTAGAATCAGACATAACTTATACTTTTGCATGCTTGGCTCCGGAGGTAGCAAGAACAAGCAGGGTATCGACCAAATCTGATGTTTTCTCATTCGGGGTTGTTCTGTTTGAAGTTCTGTGTCGTAGACGCGTATTCGATGCAAAATTGCAGATGGAACAGCGATTTCTATATACTTGGGCACGTAAATGCATTGAGAATGGAACAATTTACAGTATAATTGATCCATACCTGAAGGGAAAGATAAGTCCACAGTGTTTGAAGAAATTCTTGGAGATTGCTTACAGTTGTGTCCAGTATGAGGAAAACAAAAGGCCTACCATGGGTGAGGTGGAGGCGACCTTGGAGCTTGCGTTGGAGTTGCAGAAGCAAGAAGAATACGAAATGGAGAGTATAAATCCGCAAGGTGAATTTATTTGTGAAGAAGCATAATTTTTATGTACCATCTAACTGGTTGCTTTGATGATGGTAAATGCACAAAAATCATGAATTATTGTGTAGGGTCTGAAGATGTGATTTCAGTTGTGTTCCTGGTTTTTAAGCCTGGTGTTTAAATGTTTTTGAAATATGAATAAATCACATTGCCCAAAATGCGAACCAAAAGAAGTAACCCAAAATCAGGACTTGAGATTTGAGTTGCAGTAAAGATTTTAATAGAATTGGGTAGGGATGTGCATGTGACCCGAATCCGACGGGTTCCAATCGGGTCGGGTTTTTTAAAAAAAAAATCGGGGTTGGGTTCAGGTTTAGGGTGAAAAAAATCCGACCCGGAAAAAATATATAATTTTACCCTATATATTTAGGGATAATTACAATAATACCCCTCTATATATAATATTTTTCAATTAAGTCACTGTTTTTATTGAATAAAAATATTTTTTATTTCGGGTCGGGTTTCTATGTCATATATTTGGGTCGGGTCGGGTGAAACCTTGTTTTGGTCGGGTCGGGTCTCGGGTGGAGGCTCCCTTGTTTTCGGGTCGGGTGGACCAAAAACCCGACCCATTCCCATCCATAGAATTAAGATGAGTAAAATTTGACTTGAAAAAATTATCTTTTTGAATCAACTCGACCTGAAAATTTTTTACTCAAATTTATTTCGAGTTGTGATTTTTTAAACTCGACTTGAATTTTTTTAAATTCGAGTCAAGTTATAAAATATAACTCGAAATTTTTAGTAATTAGTGGATTAGTTTTCAAGACTTTTTCAAGTTTAAGTTGAGTCTTTCGACTCTATATGATATATGTATATCACATATGGAAAAAAATATGAAGAAATATATATGTATTATATAACGTTATAGAAAATTATTTAAATTGAAATCAAATAGTATTATAATATTATAAATATTTATAATAAAATTTAAACAGAAACTCGAATAATTCGATTCAAAATTTATAAACTCAACGAAAAAATTTCAAATCAAGTATGAGTTATAAAATAAGATTAAGAAACTATTTATCCTAACAGTATTTTTTTTTTATATCAGAAGACTGATAAATGATCAATTTTAAGAATTAGAAACCAAAACTAAAAAGAAAATTCTTGGGATAATTATTTGGTTTCTTATTTGAAGAATGGTCGTAGTTTAGATTGATTTTAGCACTTGCAAAGTTCCAACCACCCCAATTATTAGCATCGTTATTAAATGGACCGACCTGGTCAAAGCCATAAAGTAAACAATATGAGATACATCAGACCAAACTTGAAATCATATATATATATATATATATATATATATATATATATATATATATATATATATATATATATATATATACTACAATACAAATATTTTATTGATTTCAAATAAAAATACCAAGGGAGCTTTAGCAGTGAAATTGGACCGTTTACTTGGTCATCGTCCACTACCGGCTTCAACTATTTTCCCCCATTCTTTCGACAGTTGAAGTTGACATGGTTTGATCCTACGCACCGAAACACAGACGCGTTTGAAATTAAGGACCACGTGACTACTAGCTACCAATTTCGAGTTTTGATCATCGTCCTTGAGGATTTCTGATCTCGGAAAACACTGCCTTAGACAAGGGTCTGTCAGAATCTTTGCTGACAAAAGTATCACTTGTCGTTAAACTGAAACTACCGGTGCTCTTGGAGTTGAGGACATGATCGCCGAGGCTACTGAAAACGTCGCCGCTGTCGTCTTCCAGTGCTTTCAAGGGGGTCTCCTCATCAAACTCTGCTTCTATGGAAGCCCCATCGATTACAGGTTTAAGCTTCGCCTCGCCACTTTCTTGCAATTGTAGTGCGAACTCTAGTCCCCACACCACATCGCCCATCGAGGGCCTTTCGGATCCTTCGTCATTCAAACAACTCATTGTCACCTCGGTGAATTTTTTCAAACACTCGGGTGCAATCTTACCCCTCAAGAATGGATCAATGATTTTGTGAAGAGTTCCACTTCGGTGGCATTGTTGAGCCCATGCTGCTAAGCTGATCTGTGCCTTGTCGGCCGATCGACTAATAGGTGGCCTAGCGCATAATATTTCACATAGGACCACGCCGAATGAATATACATCGGATTTCGCTGTCAACTGTTGACGACGATAGTACTCGGGGTCTAAATACCCGAAGCTACCTTTCACCACTGTGCTAACATGTGCCTGGGATATGTCGGTAGGGCCGATTCTAGACAACCCGAAATCTGAAACTTTAGACACCCACTTCTCATCCAACAAAATGTTTGTTGTCTTAACGTCTCGATGAATGATCATGTGCTTGGCACCCGAGTGAAGATAATGCAACCCACGAGCGGCGCCGATACAAATCTCTAAACGTTGCTTCCATGGGAGAGCAGGGTTTTCGGTGCTGTAGAGATGATCACGAAGTGTACCATGAGCCATGTAATCGTAAACGAGGATCATCTCCCCATCATCGTTGCAGTATCCGATTAACGACACCAAATGTAGGTGGCGTAGCTGCGAGAGCATCTCGATCTCGGTCTTGAACTCGTGAGCCCCTTGTTGAGACTCGGGATTCAACCGTTTGATCGCGACGGGGGTTGCCCCGCCATCGATGAACCCTTTGTATACGTTGCCGAAACCACCGACACCGATAATGAAAACACTGTCGAAGTTGTTGGTTGCCCCTTTGATCTCAGCAAGTGAAAAGTAACGGCAAAGGTCAGATGGTAGGGATGACCCTCGGGACTTGGTTGACTTGGTAGACTTGGTGGATTTGGTTGTGTAGGAAAATTGGCTCCACCATGAAGCTCCGTCGTTGGAACCTGAATCTTTGACTCTTCTCTTTTGCCGGAAAACCAAGAAACAAATAAGACACAGAACAATTAGGCCACCTATCACACCTGCCACGATACCAATTGTTGTTTTGCTGCTGCTGTTGGTTGATCCCGGTGGTGAACTCACTGGAGGATTTATCAGGATCGGATCCGGATTCGGTCCGGAAAGATCCATATTATTGCTCAATTTGAAGATTTCTAGTCCATTCAAGATTGCATCAGAGAAAGTGGTCCCCCATTCCGGAGCAGGATGCAAAGCAACAGAGAGACTTTGTTGCTTTAGATTTCCCCTTGTTCCCATTGCAACAACATAGTCCCTATACACTGGGAACCCATTTCCAGTACTCCAGACTATAACATCTGCTTGAGTTTCTGCAGTTAAATTAGCCAAGAAGATCTCAAAGACTCTGTTACCTTGTTCCGTTACCTCTATCTGGAACTCACAGAAATGTAACCTGACATAGTAACTGAACCCAGAATCAACAGGGAACTCCCATGTCAGATTGTAGTTCTGATTCTCAGTCTTGTTCAATCCCATGGTTCTGGCAGTGACATAAACATCCCTTGGAGCCGAATACGATGGTATATTGCTGAAGGTGAGATTCACACTGGTATTAACGGGAAGAGCACTTGGCTTCGCTATTGTCAAATAGTCGTCGTCACTTGACCAGTGCCGGAACATCCCGGTGTCTTTTCCCGGCGTGATTTCCTTCCCACCGACGTTGACTCGATACACACTCTCGAGGGCAGTGTCGTTTCCTACGGAGAACAAGGCTCCCATAGCCTGGCCTATAAAAGTCGCCCCTCCGTCACTGTCCGCTGTATAATATAGATTTGTCGGCATGGAAACAACTTCGATTCCATTGATGAAAGCGTAGGAATCAACGATATCGGGACTTGGGGTGAAGGTTAAGTTTAGCCTTTGGCTTTCATCCACGTTTAAACAAAATTCCTTGACCACAGTAGCTTTGCCTTGTGCATGGAGTAAAGCACTGAAATTCTTGAGAAGGGTATAAGGACCTGCTTTGACAGAGAAGAAAGATTTATTAGAAGGGTCGTCAAAGCCTGGATATGATGCCGGCCCCGGGTAGAAGTGCAACCGAATGAACTTTTGACCGGCCGTTAAGGGAATCGAATAGGTGAATTCGGAGTGAGAAAGACGGGCTGTGGAGTAGGGGACACTCTCAACTGAGTTTTGTATAGGTGCTGTTGAAGCCGTGGATGATTCATTGTTTTGTTTTGATGGTCTAAAGGGGTGAACTTTCCATGGACATCTCCCAACCAAGGACGGCCGTCGAGAGATTGGTCGTCTTTGGAAGAACCACAGTCGATTGTGATGTTCTCGGTGGGGCTATAAGGGGTAACCTCGGTGTCGGAGGCAACAGGGACAGCAAGGTATGCTATGAAGAAGAAGAGACATGGAACTAACAGGTATTTGCTTGTAAACTCCATTGTCATAGAGAGAAAGATTTGAAGAAAGGGATCAGAGCCAAGAAAGCTAGAAAGTATGAACTCTTTCAAGTACTGAATTGCTATGAAATTTCATACGATATTCTCTCCTTCCCTCCATCTTCCTCAGTTGTTTTCTCATCTGCGGGTCAACTTTGCAACAATTTCACGCGTCTTCTTTTTAATATAAATGGTAAAATAAAACATATATCACTAAAGTTTAAGCGGTATATAATTTATATCATTCAACTTCTAATTTTATCAATTATAACATTAAACTTTAGTTTTGACTTCAATTATGACACTAAAACGTTTAATTTTAAGGACACCATGAGGCGGATAGATCTTTCCGTTACTATGATGACGTAGAAAAAATTATGTCATTTTGACAACAACTATTGACTTCCAAAGCGGTGTCGTTTTAGGCATTGAACTTTATGAGCATTATCGATTTTGACACTAAAATTTTAAATAGTTCACTTTTTGCTCTGTATTTTTTTAACCGTCACCGACAATCAATCATCGCCTGTCATCGGTCGTCTATCACGGTAATATTGATACTAAAACGTTCGCATTTCAATCATGTTTGTTCTCATTGGATTGGTTTTTCACGAAACCCGCTCAAAATCAAAATCATTTGAAAGTTTGACGTGCTAATACTCTGGTCTCTTCTGAAGACCGTTCGATGAGTATAGTTTGAGGTTTGTTGTTCGTCTTCTCGAAATAATGCTTCTCATCATTTGAATTTTTAAATAAATGCTTCAAATCTAAGAAAGCCCCCAAACCCAAAAAATTATAGATTTTTTA